AGTGATAAAAATGTTAGATTCAAAATTATGATTTAGCATGGCCTTTGAGATGCATTTAGTTGTTATATGCTGGTTTTCTTTCCTTTGTTGCTGGTGGTGTTCTTCCTGCTTTTCCATTACTATTGATAATTCCTGGTGATCCTGATGAAATGGCTGGAGAATGTTTTCCTCTGCTTGGTGGTTTTGAATCCACTGTGCTCACAGACTGGAAGGGCCTGGCAGCAGCAGTGCCATGAAGAAACAGGAGGAGCACGGCCAAGATCACAACCACATAAACCATCCTTGATATCGCCATTTCAGAGCAGGAGAAGCCTAGCAGAAAACTTACAAGTGACTGCAGAAAACTAGGAGTGGAGCTTGCTACAAATTCCCTTGGGTTTATTGATCATATCAAAGCATGAGGTTTTTATAGTGTTTCAAACCTGACCTGAGACAAGAAGAGGGAAGTTTCGGTTCACTTTCAAAGCTTGAATCTTCCTTTGATTTTGCGGCACCGTTAGAGCTACAGTCAAGGGTCAATAATTCAATATTGGTCAAAATTAAACTAATGATTTTTAATGAAATTAATAATACGCTTGGTTTGCTTAGTAGTATTTATTAATTTAATTGATCAAATGAAAGTTTATAATTTATAAACATAAGATTATGGTAGAATAAACTAGAATATGCTAAGAAGTGTTTAGGAAAGTTTATAAATTATAAACATATTTATAAATTATAAATATAAAATTAATCTAAATGATTAATAACCGTTAGATTGTAGAATATCCTAGAGTATCTAAGCATATTTCAGGTATATTCACTACCATACAGATTTGCTTAAGCAAAACCAAAAAATAAATTAGAGAAATTAAATGAAGGAATATCCTAGAATGTATTTTAAAACTTAGACTTACTTTAGTAATCCTATAATAATCTGATTTTTTTAAAACAAATTTCCTTCATACTCAAAGCATTCTTGATTTTGTTTGTGATTTTGTCACCAGCAGGAATGGCACACTGGCCGCAAGCAATCTATGCAGAAGAAGTTGTATCAACACTACCACCCTTGGTAAATGTAAGGAAACCAGAACCATCGCCCAGCGCAAGCTTTCCCACTTCCTGGCAATTCCTATATGAGCTCTGCTGGGCTCGCTCCAAGAGGTTGGCTGGGCGTTACGATACTTAGACAGTACCGGCCAACGGATCTTTCTCAACCCGCGGCTGCGGCCGATCCTCTCGAGTTCCTCGCGCGAGCGAAACGACAGTCTGCCACGTAGGGCACGAAATATGTCATATTATTTGAAACGAGCTGAGGTTAGATCGAAAACTTTTGTAGAACTTCTGATGATTTCGCTGTGTGCATGTAGATTTGTCGAGTGGCTTGTGAGTGGCAGAATGCTTTGCTGGTATGTCTGTTTGTCAACTAGAAATTCTTTTTTCTTTGTCTTCGTTTGAAAACCACGATGCTGGAGCCAAGCTCATTTCTGTGGAGAAAAACTAATTACCTCTTCTATCCAGCCAGAGCTAGAAAAAAAGAACCAAATCTTGCAAGATATCTCCGACAACTGTTTGGGATCTAATCTTGAAAGACATTTAAAATTCCAAGGTAGATCTTACACTCGTTTACAAAGTAATATTCTCTTTTACTTTCAGATTGTATCTGTGCTAGAAGACTTTGTAAGGTGGCATTCTTCGAGATTGAAACTGCAGGAGTTCGCTATGCAGTTTCTCCATACATTACCTAGTTCTTGAAAGCTTTATGTTCACTTTCTTAGTAAGTTTCTTGTCAACATATTACTCTCGGTGTTCTTCGTATCAAAGAGATATTGAGAAAACTGCATGGAGATGCCTTGGAGCAAAGGCCAACTTTTGACTTCACAATAACTACCCTTACTGTTTGTTTTTGAGTTTTTTACCCACTATTTTTCTGTTTCTTCAGGTTCTTCATTACCTTGAAACGCTGATGCCTCATAAGCTTTTAGCACAGATTGTATCCACTGCTTTCGTCACTGCTGTGGAGAACTCCTGGGTGGTCACTCCATGAGCACTTACAACAACACATGAATAACCTTATCAATCCAAAAGATAATTTTGTCAACATGAAGAAAGAATTGAAAGTATACATACCTAGCAAATAGCTCTTGCCACAACCATAGAGACAATTGGACAGTAAATCCATGGCAGTCCACTCTTTTGTAGAAGTAGGTAGCCTGAGAAACTTAACCTAAACCAGAAAATTTACTACTAAACGTGGAAATATTCTGAGAATCTGTGCTTCAAAAGCTCAAAAACGAACAGCCAGATTTGTGCCCATACATTACTCGGTGCTTTCCTTATATGACTCGGGCTGCTTGCATTGGGCTCTTTTTTCTAGCTCTGGCTGGATAGAATGTAAAGAATTCTACATTCTTTCAAGCGTTTTGCCAAAAATCGTTGCCCTAAAAAAAAGGCTTGAAGAGTAGAAAATTAAGTCTAGTATTTGTACTTCGAAAGAGAAAGATCAGTGTTACTGAGGAAGTAGATTCTGCTCCATCCTTTGCAAGATATCTTTCTTTATATCTGTCTTGTCTTGCTTCATTCAAAAATCCACTATTCTAAATATAAGAAATAACAACTTTTAATCTTACCCTTGATTGATCATCAGGTTAAAATCTGAAGTATTTTTCTCTTAGCTCGCCAAACACTAGTGTTTTCTTGTGATCTATGTGCAGTCATGGGGACACCACCTCAAACATCAAACATTATACCTCAACAGCACAGGGATCTAGACATGCATACAAGCCTCAAACACAATAATCGAAGACAAGCACAGATATGATAAAGGCAAAAGAAGGTACCTTCCAAAGGATGGCTAATTGCAAGTTTTCTATGTTTGCTCTTATTTCTTTTCTTTCATTAGGTGATCTTTCTTCTGAGTTCTTTAGTTCCCCTCTCTCACGAGGAGAAAAATTACTTCAGATTTTTACTTGGGGGAAACGAAGGCTTACATGTTGAGGCGTGGTGGCAATGTCTTCAGTGTGCCATTCCTCCCAATTGATCATTGCTGCCTCACTTTTCCACATCTGTCGCTATCGTTGGCATGAAGAGGCGAACAGGCTTCGGCTGGGTGTTACATATGTTAGTAAGGCAGTAACACAGCTCTTCTGATCTTCCTCTTTCCTCTAACTCGTAGGAAGTTCCTATCATGCAGCAAGACATTTAGGGTTTAAGCCTTTTTTAGAGTGGCAAAACACTTGAAAGAATGGTTTTGAATTTGTAAAATTCTTTAAATTCTATCCTAGAAAAAAGAGCCCAATGCATCAAGAAAAGTCCTCAAAGGCCAGCTTTTGACTTTAGAAGGGAGAGAAAATCCTACTCTTCGTTTTTGAGGTTTTGACCAACCAATTTTCTGTTTCTTGAGTTCGCACCTCTTGGAAACCTTTTAGGTAGAGTCTTCGTTTAGTGGTAACAATAAGCCATGTAATTTGGTTTACTTAGCAGTATTATACCTACTTCTACACCATGGATTCACATGTTAACTTTGGGAAGAGTATGAGGTGTTGAATCCTCTCACTGAACGAAAGGGTATTTCAAGGCCACCTTTTAACTTTGTAACCACATCCAAACAACCAAAGCTATTGGATTTGTTGGTTAGAATTTCATATGGATTATATATATGATTCAAGTCTGGGGATTTGGAAGGGGATAGCACTGCCTATAGGTTGGATACTTGATGATAAATGGCATCCAAGAGCAATGGGCAGCAAAGTGCTATACTTTTGTGAAGGATGGGATATGAAGCTTTTGTAGAGCTTGATTTGGCATACTGAATGGATAGACAGTGCTCCAGGTTGGGATTTCTCTAAAGAAGACCCCACAAATGTCTTTGATCAGTTGGGTCGAATTGCACGGGGAAGATTTATTCAAGAAATATACTTTGAAAGCTCACATTTATCAAACTGTACCATTTCTTAAATATCGTGTTCTGTTACTATGTGAGATAGCTTTCCATATTTGAAGAATCATTGTTTGATCCCTGATAAAGGTTCTTCAAGATTTATCTTACTAAATAAAATATCTTTAGGTTTTAGTTTTTGGTCTTACTAAAGTAAAATATGACTCAACTAGTTAAAAAAAAAACGAAAAACTTTACCCTTTTTTAACATTCTTCAGAGATTTAGGGTTTATCCGTCATGAGTGTGGCTTCTTCCCTGGCACTGTGTCCAATCTCTCCAATCCCTCGCTGGGACAAAGGAGCCAAAGAGGGGATTGCCACCACAAAATGCAAGGTAACGAAAGAAAAGAAGCAATGTCTCTCCAAGCAGGAGCTGCGAATTGGAATTCCACTCACATTCGCGGCATTCGCCCTCGCGAATTTAAACCCCGGCCTCGCGCTGGCTGCTGCCGATGATCCCTCTTCCCTGTGCTTGAGCTTTGGCGATAACAACGCCTACACTGTCATCGCCATAGCCTGCGTGCTCCAGGCAGTGGCTCTCGTTGGTGCCGCAGTGGGAGGTATCCAAAGAGAAAGAAAAAAAATAACTCTTTAGCTCTCGAGAAGAAAACCAGCTTGATTTCCACTTTCCTTGCAGGGACTCTGGCCAGGCAGCGCAAGCTCGAAGTGGAGAAGATCAATGGCCAGCTGCGGCAAATCTTTGCAAAGATGAGGAGACAGTACCAGGTGGAGACGTATGCGCCGAGTCTCACGTATGCCCCCGCTACTCTGGGCCGCTCGCAAGATCTTCCACAGGCCACCGCGCTCGATCCCACCAAGCAGGAGCTCACCAAGCGCTTGAGAGGCGGCAAGAGGTTCCTCCGCGAGAAGAATCCACAGGCCGCCTTTGACGAGTTCCAAAAGGCGATGGCTCTCGCCAAGGAACTCAACGATCGCGTCGAGCAGAAGAAAGCTGCTCGAGGCCTCGGTAAACTTCTCTTCCGCCACCTCTTTTGATTTTTCTTCCTGCGACCTTGCAGCGAATCACTGAGAGAAACTTCGTGTGTACCTTGCAGGAGCTTCTTGCCAGAGACAAGGGAAGTTTCGAGAGGCCATAAAGCACCATAGCATGGTGCTCACCATCGCCCATCTCTCCGGCGAGCACAGTGGATACACTGAGGCTCTGGGAGCGATTGCGGACTGCTACACGGAGCTGAGAGACCTGGAAAACGCAGCAAAGTTTTATGATCAGTACATAGCACGACTAGACAACGAGGAGGACTAGTTACCGATACGTTTTTCTTTTTTTTCTTTTTGTTCGTTCCTCCAAAGCAATAGCGAAATCCTGAAAACCTTTAGCGAGAACAAGCCAAGATAATACACAATACGTACATGTCCAATTTAGCTCAGACGGGGGAGTCGTCTTTGCTCTGTGGAACAGCCAAGGAGGCTCTCTCGTCTTGCGATACCGGAAGAAGAACGTAGACGTCATGAGCTTCTGGCTTGGAGACCACGCCTCGGTCTTTGTCCATTGCATAGCAGATGTAAACAGTGTCGACGATGATGTTCATGATCGCGATATAAATGGAGAGTATCAGCAGTAGCAAAGCGCCGGATAGCACAGTGACAATGTAGATACCGCTGTCAAGACTGGTAGTACCAAGTAGAATACCCCAAACCTGTGGATAAAACACTCAGACAATTACGAACAGAGAAAAACCTCGATAGACTTACTGCAACTGCGTAGATGATCGAGACTACAACCATCACGCCACCGAGGAGCCTGGTGGAAATCACCTCCACAAACACCGTCGACAGAAGATTGCGTTTCAAAAGCTCGTAGGTTCTTGCAGCAGACGAACAAAAGCCTTCTCCAGTGATCGCAGCGAAGTCGACCGTGAACTTGGTGACAAATTCAATGGCTTGGAGTAGCCACTCGTAGCAACAGCGCAGGAAAGACATAGCCAGACCCTCACCTTCCTGGCTGTCCTTGGCAGTGTCCACCACATTGCGAATGAGACGCACAAACGCAAAGATCAAGCCCGAGAAGCATATAGTCCCGAACGAGGAACTAAATGCTTGCCTGAAAGCACAAAGAAAGAAGTTCCATCAACTTTTCCTTCTAACAAAAAAGAAAAGAGAGCGTAGCTTACCCAAGCGATCTTCTCATAGCTCCAATCGTGTGCGTATCAACCTCTGCAAAGTACCATTGACTGATGGTACCACTAATGGTGTAAACTTTAGCTTGTGCAACTACACAAGTCGCCCAGAGAACAAACAAAGCAGCCAAAATCATGTAAGCGGGAACCCAGCTCTCAACGTTCCACTCGCAGCACTCCCGACTCGTGCCTCTGCCGCAGGGAAGCTCAGGTCGATCTCTCAAATCAGCATTGGGGACATACTTCCCATTCATGTAAGAGAAGACCAGGAAGAACGCGGCAGGGACGTAGAAGACAAGCAGTACCAGCGACAAACTGGGAACCACTAGCAACAGCGAGAGATTCCTGTAAAGAGCCTCGGACGCTGTGGTGATGACTCTCACGGTGAGCTCAACGCGAGCAAAGTTGGCGAAGATGATCCAGACTATGATCGCACAGAAGGCGAAGATGAAGACGAAGAACAAGATGCGAACGGGGAGACTGACGCTGTCTTGGCACTCGCTGTCTTTGGCGCAAGCCACGAACCAAAGGATGTTGAGAGCCACGGGGAAGAGGATGAAGAGAGGGAGGCTCACGTAAACAATCTCTTTGGTGTAGTGGCGGAGCAGCCAGACGAGAGCTAGAACGATTGGAACGCTCAGCACGAGAGTGACGGCGAGGGAGGAGATGAGTGCCACCGCAAAGCCGTGGCTGCTGGACACTCTCTCCGGAAGAACAACGCTCGCAAGCGTTCTCCACGACGAGATCCTGCCCGGGTGACTTAGAAGGAAATCCAGCTTCGCGGAGGGATTGGAATGGGCGACCGTGCATCGGCTCTGGTTGCGAAGATAGTGAGCCGGCTCCGACCACTGGAAATCGGAATTGTGGTGGACGATTGCGAAAATGCCGAATCCAAGCGTAGCTAGAGCCGCGAGGATGAACACGATCGCGAATGCGATGTCCCTGTATGGCCTGGCGCCATAGTTGTAGCCCCTGAAACCCTGCTCTTCGATCGGTGCCTTACCCGTCTCATCCTCGTGATCCTCGTGAGTTCCTTTCGCCTCACTGTCCTTGAGCAGCGGCTCCTCGATCCCGCCATCGCTGCCGCTGCCGCTGCCGGACGGCTTCTCTTCCATCGGATCGCCTATTAGAATCCCAGCAGCATTGCCAGCGAGCAGAGAAACCCTCAAAATAAAAACCCTAATTTTTGTGACGACTATCTTTGATCATAACCGTCATTCTTTTTTAAAACTGACCGTTCGATTGGCTCTATCGTGATCGTTCGTTTGACTAAAAAGGGTTTAAATCTCCCTGTTTGGCTATGACGTTTAGTGGAGGGAATCGCGCGCTGAGTGGATCCTCGCTCGACGGCTGCGATGCTCCAGTATTTTCCAGCACAAGTTTGCTCCCCGCCATAGCCGAGCCGCGAGCTCGCGGGAATTCTAGGGTTTATAGTCCAGGGGGCGAGAATGCAGTGCCTCCCTTGCGCGATGAGCTCGCCTGGAGCGCGGCTGCAGCCTCAATCGGCTGTGGGATGGAGAGGAGGCGATCATTGGGAGAATTTGGTCGCGATTCCGTGCGCTCGGCTACACAGAGGCAATCGCAAGCAATTTTCTCCACTCAGGGTACGTGGTTTAAGAAAAATTTCCACAGTTTGGCAATTTTGATGTTTCTCGGTTCCAGGTGGTGTGTAAAGATTATCCTAGACCCGAAATTGATTCTACTGTGAATTTTCTCGAGGCTGCTGCTCTCTCGGCATCGCTAAGAAATGCTCCTCGACCGAGCGAGCCTCTTAAGATTGTGATCGCCGGCGCAGGTAAATATTACTTTCGTGGTTCTGTAGAAGGATCTTCCATTTTGTTTCTTTGTTCTTGTGTAATTTTTTTCTTTTATTTGCTTCGTAGGTTTAGCTGGTTTGTCTACCGCCAAGTATGTGGCTGATGCCGGGCACATTCCTATTGTTTTGGAAGCCAGAGACGTCTTGGGTGGAAAGGTCGGGTATAGTTTTAAAACTCTTTTTTGGCTGTAACTTAACGACTGAAGCTAACGATATAGGTGGCAGCTTGGAAGGACAAAGATGGCGATTGGTATGAGACCGGCCTTCATATTTTCTGTGAGTTTCTGATACTTCCGATTCTAAGCTTCTAATCCCTGCTTACGTTTCCAGTCGGAGCATATCCCAACGTGCAAAACTTGTTTGGAGAGCTTGGTATCAATGACAGGCTGCAGTGGAAGGAGCACAGCATGATCTTTGCAAGGCCCGATAAGCCCGGGGAATTTAGTCGATTCGATTTTCCTGAGTTGCCTGCTCCATTTAATGGTAAGGCTAAAGGTTTTTTCCATTTACCTTGGACTTTTTGTTTCTAAAGCTTAGTTATGCAGGAGTGCTGGCTATTCTGAAAAACAATGAGATGCTAACCTGGCCAGAGAAGATCCGCTTTGCAATTGGATTGCTTCCTGCCATTGTCGGAGGGCAGAAGTATGTTGAGGCTCAAGACAACCTGACGGTAAAAGAGTGGATGATAAAGCAGGTATGTTTCTATCTTACTTAATCTTTCCTCTCATCTTTTTCGATTTCTTATTACAGGGTGTTCCGGAGAGAGTTAACGACGAAGTTTTCATTGCAATGTCTAAGGCCTTGAACTTCATCAACCCGGACGAATTGTCCATGCAATGTGTTTTGATTGCTCTCAATCGCTTTCTTCAAGTAAGTGTCACTTGTTTGTCTTGCTCATTTCTCTGCTCTCTTTGTGTAGGAATCACATGGCTCGAAAATGGCCTTCCTGGATGGAAATCCACCCGAAAGGTTGTGCACGCCAATAGTCGACCATTTTAGTAAGCTAGGAGGCGAAGTACGTTTAAACTCCCAACTCCAAAAGATAGTCGTGAACGACGATGGGAGAGTCAAGCATTTTGCGCTCACAGATGGTAGTATAGTAGAGGGTGATGTTTATGTTTCAGCCATGCCTGGTACGTTTCCAATTACACTCTGAATCTGTCCTAATGTTTTTCTTGGTGCAGTTGATATTTTGAAGTTGCTATTGCCAGAAAGCTGGAAAGAAATGCCGTATTTTAAAAAACTTTCCAAGCTTGTAGGCGTGCCGGTTATAAACGTTCACATCTGGTAATGCGTTTGATATCGGTCTGATACGTCCAGTAACTATTGGTATTTGCAGGTTTGACAGGAAGCTAAAAAACACTTACGACCATCTTTTATTCAGCAGGTATAATTTTCTTCTAGATCATAGTTCCGAACTTATGCTTACCTTCTTTCAGGAGCCCTCTATTGAGCGTCTACGCCGACATGTCGACGACATGCAAGGTATAACGAATGAGTTAGGACGGACTTCCCAAAGTATAAATGCTGATGTTTTTGCAGGAGTATGCGGACCCAAACAAGTCGATGCTGGAACTCGTTTTTGCTCCAGCGGACAAATGGATAGCTCGAAGTGAGGAAGATATCCTTGATGCTACCATGCAAGAACTGGCAAAGCTCTTTCCCGACGAGATTGCCGCGGATGGAAGCAAGGCCAAAGTTTTGAAGTATCACATTGTGAAAACTCCCAGGCAAGCGTCTCTCTCACAACTTTCTCTTGTCTGATTCCACTCTTCCAGATCCGTGTATAAGACTGTCCCCGATTGTGAGCCCTGCCGGCCACTCCAGAGATCTCCTCTAAGAGGATTTTACCTCGCGGGCGATTTCACGAAGCAAAAATACCTGGCGTCGATGGAAGGCGCCGTGCTATCGGGAAAACTCTGTGCCATGTCTATTGTACAGGCAAGTGGTGTTTGTTAATAGATCTACGTGTGACGTGATTTGATCTATGGCAGGATTCAAACAGCGGTGCTTTACTTCCAGTTCTTCCCAGAAAGACAATGAGCGTCACAAGGTAACAAGTAAAAGAATCTTATCATTTTGTTTAAAGCGCTCAAAGCAGAAATGCAAATGGTCTTAGTATTTATGTTTGTTGCGTGTCTCTATTAACCAAGATCTCCTTGTGTATCCAAGATCCATTTCTTCCATTCGCTTTCATCCATTCTCTTAGATATCAGGGACGTTTGGGTAAAAGATACTCTAGTTACTAGTGACGGGTTTTCTTACCTTGGATCACTTTGCTCTTTGCTGGGATGAAGATCCACATTGGCTGTGTGGGAAGGGATCTACTGCAAGGAAACAACCGCATGGGAAGGCTCCAATAAAGGTATTTCTTTGTAAAGTTCAGGAGAAGACCAGAAAAGAAATGGACAAGTTGGATATTATCTGTCAACTTAGCTGTTGAGGGTTTAGGTTTCACAGCAGCCTGATGTATGTTGCCTTGGTCTCCCAGAATCTAAAACACCACAAGATGCATAGAGTATTTTCACTATTTTTTATTTACAACAAGTGAACATTTAGAATTTCAGTTGAAAACCATTTAAAAATCTCAATTTAAGAATAAGTTTTTATAATTCATGGCGGATCAGAAGAGGAGGAGAGAGGAGGAGGAGGAGGTGGAGCGGGTGAAGGCTCTGCTTCGCAACTATTTAGTTAAATTTATTAAGAGAAAATAAATTTAATAATTATGATGTGGTTCATCATTTATAAGCAATAACATTTATTTATATATATATTTATTAAATATATATATCGAATATATTTATCAAATTGAGGAACTCACAGAAGAGTAGAAGACCAAAAGTCTTTCAGGAACAATAAGTTTCTATCCTCAAGAAGTCAATCGGAAATATTACAGTAAAATATGTTACATTGTCTTTAATTTAGAATGCAAACATTCATCAATAATTAAATGAATGGTTAATTTTAATAATATGCATTCAAAATGTCTTAAATTTCTTCCACTCTTAAAGTTCTAAAATAAAAATATTATAAAAGTAATAAATTTAATTTTTTAAGGGTGATTATATTGTTTGTATTAATTAATAAATTCATTGAATGTTATAAGAAGATATATAACAATATAATGGTATATTTCCACTTATAAAGATATAGGAATAAGTATATCAATTTAGGTTTAGACCTCTACTTATATACAATAATGGATAGATTAAATTTAATCCCAAATGGATGGTTTATATATTATAGTACTATAATTAGTGTATTACCTAGCTAAGGTAATATATGTATTTACAAATTTTACACCATCCTCCCCTTTGGAGGATGAAGAAATAATAACTATAAATCAATTGAAAATTTAAAGCTTTTGTTAGGAAATTATAAACTACCACAAAAATTTAAAGATCTTATAAAACCACTAACAAAGCTATTGATAACCGTGATTAAAATAAAACCCAAAGCCATGACATATATATCAATTGACTACAAAATCTTAATAAACCACTTCATATACAACTGCCAAATGTTTAAACTAACTTTCAAGTTATAATTTTGAATCAAAGTAAAGGATTTTGGGAATTACTATAGTCCATGAAATGCCATTGCAATAAATGATATACTTTGTATTATAAGTTTGCCTGCCGATAATTCTCCGAAATCACTATTAACTCAAACTCATAACTGTAAGTAGAATTTACTTCTTTATCTTTGTCTAACATTGCATATAGAAAATCAGACTCATTCAATTTGTCTTTCATATCTTTTTTACCCCTCCTTAAAGGAAAAAAAATGTTTTGAAGCATTAGTTCTATTCAGACACATTGCATTCATTCTCATTTCACCAACCTCACTCTATCATTGCATTCATTTGACTTCACTACATTAGGGCTGAATGTTTTATTCAAACTTATTATGCTCATCTTCACTTCATGATTTATATCATTCATTCTTGCTTCACTACTGTATTTGTTCATGTTGTAAATGTGATTATGTGTATTGAAAATTACCTATCAGCTAGTTCTTTAAGATATTCTTTCCTTACTGCCACGACGACTGAAGGTTGGTATTGTTAGACCCTTTATCAGTCTTTGCCTAAGGTTGAGAAATTAGTCATCAAATGTGCACTTAAACTGAAAGGGCACTAAGGAAAGAAATCTTAAGTTGTTATTTAGTCAAGCATATTTGACATAGTGATGAGAAATTTATATTGTTGACTTGAACTTGTTAATATTGGGAACCCAGTGATATTGAGTTTGGTTCATCAATATTTGCTAGATGATAGTTTACCATGTTTGCCAAACCCTTTGCTATTATGCATCTTATATTAATTCTTAATTGCTATTTGGAAAGTGTTTAG